ATATTGAACATTTTTTTTCATATATTTATTGATCAAGTGTATATCATCTTCTGAGAAGTGTCTGTTCATATCTTTGGCCCATTTATTGATAAGGTTTTTTTTTTTGGTGTTAAGTCTTTTGAGTTCTTTACATATCCTAGAGATTAGTGCTCTCTCTGATGTGCATGTGGTAAAAATTTTCTCCCATTCTGTAGGCTGTCTCTTCAACTCACTGATTGTTTCTTTTGCTGAGAAGAAGCTTTTCAGTTTGAATCCATCCCATTTATTGATTCTTGATTTTATTCTTCCACTTATAGGAATCCTGTTAAGGAAGGCAGGGCCTAATCCGATATGATGAGATTTGGGCCTACTTTTTTTTCTGTTAGGCACAGGGTCTCTGAACTAATTCCTAGGTCCTTGATCCACTTTTGAGTTGAGTTTTGTGCATGGTGAGAGATAGGAGCTTAATTTCATTTTGCTATATTTAGATTTCCAGTTTTCCTTTTGGAGAGACTATCTTTTCTCTGATATATGTTTTTGGTGCCTTTGTCTAGTATTGAGATAACTGTATTTATGTGGGTTTGTCCCTATGTCCTCTGTTATGTACCACTGATCTACAAGTCTATTTTGGTGCCAATACTATGCTGTTTTTGTTATTATTGCTCTGTAGTATAGTTTAAGGTCTGGTTTAGTGATGCCTCCTGCTTCACTCTTCTTGCTAAGAATTGCTTTGGCTATTCTGAGTCTCTTATTTTTCCAGATGAATTTCATGATTGCTTTTTCTGCTTCTATGAGGAATGTCATTGGGATTTAGATTGAATTGCATTGAATCTGTATAGTGCTTTTGGTAGTATGGTCATTTTGACAATATTAATTCTTCCTATTCAAGAACAAGGGAAATCTTTCCATCTTCTAAGGTCTTCTTTAATTTCTTTTTTTGTGTTTTGTGGTTTTCATCATAGAGGTCTTTCACCTCTTTTGTTGATTCCAAAGTATTTTTCGAGGCTGTTGTAAATGGGGTAGTTTTCCTAGTTTCTCTTTCAAGGATTTGAAAGACTAATGTATAGAAATGCCTTTAATTTATGGATATTGATTTTTATATCCTGCTACTTTGCTGAATTCATTTATTAGTTCTAGAAGTTTTATGGTGGAATTTTTTGGATCCTCTAGGGATAGAATCATGTCGTTGGCAAATAGTGATAGTTGAAACTCTGGCTAGAGTTTCAAGAACTATGTTAAATAGGAGTGGTGAAAGAAGGCATCCTTGTCTTGTTATAGTTTTTAAAGGATTGCTTTCAATTTTTCTCCATTTAGAATGATGTTGGCCTTGGGCTTAGCATAAATAGCTTTTACAATGTTGAGGTATGCTCCTATTATATCTTATCTATATTGTTTCAGAGTTGGTGGGGCTGAAGGCAGAATTTCCATATTCATATATCCTATTGGTAGTCTTCAGCTTGAGCTATTTGCAGTTTGGTCTTAAGTACTTATCTCTTTCATGATGACTGTAGTCAGGAGAAAATATGTTCTCCAATGTTGTGGTTTTTGACCGATTTAGCAAAAGAGAGAATTTAGCATCTGGAAGCTGCTGTCAACTGAAAGAATTCTTTGAATATTTCTCTCTTTAAAAGTTTCTGGTGTCTTATTAAAGAGTTGTGGACAAACTGCACATTTTTGGACACTTTTTTATCTGGCTTATCCCATTTTGGTCCTTGGCACACTGTTTCCTTCCCACCTTTAACCATGGGCATCTGGTTCTGAGTCCTGAGCTCTTTTCAGCCATCTCATGGATTCCCAAGGGCGCTGCAGTTCCCTCAACCATCTAGCCAGTTCTTTGCAAGGAAATAAGACACCTGCCTATACAACCAGTTAGCAAAGTCTAAAAATGGAATAAATGATGATACACATAGGTAAGTGCTGCTAACTTCCAAACCATATAAGAATTCCCTACCTGAGGCTCAAAATGAAAATCAGACATGTCTCATGAAATTCTGGGCTCAGCCTCCATGGCTCCACTGGCATGTTACTGGGGGGAGTGCTGAAGCTGGAATAAACTGTGGTGTGTGTGTGTGTGTGTGTGTGTGTGTGTGTGTGTRTGWGAGAGAGAGAGAGAGAGAGAGAGAGAGAGAGAGAGAGAGAATATGCACATGCCTAGGGCAGAAACTAGGTTGAAGAATGCAATGAGATGGTGTCTGCATGTGCAGTGCTCTCCTTGGGGACAAGATATCCTTATGTATGCTGCTGGAAGTGGATGTGGGGCTACTGTGAGGCTCAGGTGATACTGACAGAGTCTGGGGTCTATTCCCCATCAGCCTGGAGACAGGTTCAATTAAGACCTCAAAGAGTGCCAACAGGGAGTGGTTTTGACAGAGCTTTTGTGGCACCCACACAATGATGCTTCCACTCAGTGGTGGGCATTGGAGGCCAACATCGTTCTCAAGATGTCAGAACAAACAGCAGATAGCAGCAAAGGAGGCCTGATCAGGAATGATCAAGAGACTGGGAGGGTATGAATAAAGAGTTGTCCTTAATATTCAGGTGAGCACAGAAATAATCAAATCTGACTTATCACAGCTCATTGGACCTTATTACTATTATCAGAGGAGGGAGGGCAGGAGAAACTTGGCTTAGACAAAGTATGTTGATCTTTTAATTAACTAAATACTAATTCATTTAAAAAGCTTTATTGAATTAATAGTGAATATTATTCTGCTTCTTCTAAAGTAAGAGGATACAAAAGGATAACTACAACTATGTGAGGAATGATGCATAGTTCCTGTTTACAACTCCAGCTTCACTTTTCATTTTTCTCCACCCTACTCTGTGCCCTGGAGGCTGATCTCTAAAGTCAGGCATCAGCAGGCTCCTTGGCCCTCCAGCTTTCAGTTGGCTTTGACAATGGGAGACAACAGCATTGGAAATAATAGAGGAAATTGAGGTCATTCTGTATTTATTTCAAGAGGTCTTCTCCATTCTGCTATTCACTTCTGTCTGGGTCCTCCCACTTTTCCTCCAGGCCTATTTGCTAGGGCTGCTCTAATAAAATATTAAAGCCTGGCTGGTTTAAACAAGAGAAATTTACTTTCTCCTAATTCTGCAGGCTGCAAGTCTGAGATTAATATGTTGGCAGAGTTGTTTTTTTTTTTTTTTCCCTGAGACCACTAACCTTGGCTTGTCGATGACTATCTTCTCTTTGTATTCTTACAGGCTCTTTCATTAATGCATGCCTCTGCGTTTAAATTTCTTATAATGGCAGCAGTCACAATAGATTAGGACCTACCRTAATGACCTCATTTAACTTAATCTCTTTAATAACCCTATATCCCCAAACAGTCACATTCTAAGGTACTGGGGGTTAGGATTTTAACATGAATTTAGGGAGACACAATTTAGTCCCTAACAGATGGGCAGAGCTCCTGGTTCTTACTAGCCCCAGGGTTATTTACTGTGCCATAGAGTTTTCCTAAACCATGCCCACATTTTTATAAAAGTTATTAATGGTCAACTGCCCCATTTGTGGATACCATTTGTTTCTTCTGATTGATGCATAGGTCTCTAAAAATACTCCGTGTTAAATGGGTAATCTCATTCTCAAAATTGTTGGGAACTGCTGGGTAAGAACTCTGCTTTCACTTTCAAGCACTAAAATTAATATCTACCAACTATACCCATTTTGGGGTGGCTGTGCTGCGGATTGACTCTGAGGCCTCTTGCATGGTAATCACTGCCTCTACCGCTGAGCAATGTACACAGCCCAGCTCAACAATTTACTTAAGAGACCACTAGAATTTTCCTTTTTAAAATACATTCAGTTTCATGTGGGATGACCAGAGTGGATATCTATCACTAACAGAAGTAATATGATGGTATTACAGAGCATTAATAAGTCTCCTTCCCAACTCATTTTTCCATTGTCTGGTTTTTGGCTCAAAATGAGAAAGATACACTCTCTTAATCAGGCTTCAAAGATCCGTTTGATAAACACTTCTGCTCCTAGCGGACTTTTGCTGCGATGCCCTCTTCCAGTGCTGAGCTGAAAAGTTCCAGTTTGGAATTCCCACCATTTCTTTCCTTGGGGGGAGCTCAGCTTCCTTCTTTTGTTCTGAACTAGCCTATGAGTGCATATCCTCTTTCTTTCATTTTGTGGCCTGGAGATTACCCTACATCCCCATCCTCTTTATATTTTGACAGAAGATCTGGCTAAATTTCTCAGGCTGGCCTGGAACTTGCGTCCTCCAGCATTCCATGGTCAACTTTCTCCTCGAATGCTCAAAGCTAAAATTATTATCTGGCTCAAAATCTTCCCTACCACTAAGATCTAAGGACAGATATATAATGATTGACCAAAAGTAATAAGACATTTATGCAGGTTCAGTGTGGGTTGCCTGCACTGCTGATTGCCTTAGGGCATAGGGAAGAACAGCGATAAGACCTTTCCCAATTCTTCAGGAGGTCAGAGGTGCCAGAAGATATGAGAGGTAACAATTCCATTGGTTAAGGCGACTTTACCAGTGAGGCACTCAATTGGAGCTGGCTTGATTCCTCCAGCTTACTTTCTCTTTAGGGTTCATGGTTAAGTAGCAATATTTACATTTAAATGGACAATTGCATATCCCTCTCTCCCTTAGAAACATCTTTTAATTCTTATAACTGCTTTACTAATGAGTTAAAAAAAAAAAAAAACAGGGGTGATACACTGTTCTCTAGCCACCCAATTAGCCAGAGGCCCAGGTGATAGTAACACCACCCTGCCCCAGGTAGTAAGACCAGACAGTCGGCTTCCTTCAGACCACGTGGCCCAAACGGTGCTTCCAAAGCAGGTTGGCAGGCCAGCGCGTGCGCCGTCACCCACGCCGCGATGTTGGGGGCGGGGTTTACGGCGGGCAGAGGACGCATGCGTTACAGCCGATTGGATTGTGTTCCGTGGTGGCACCGGCTTCTCGCTTTACGTGTGTTGCAGTTACGTGGCCCTCGGGTGAGTGGCGACCAGGTTTACTATCGATTGGCGGGTGATTGGTGCCGGCTCGGGCTTTTCCAGCGGCCACGTCTTGCGCCTTTGGCTTCTGGCCGTGGCGATGGAGCCTAAAGGTACGGGCGGCCGCGAACCGGTCCTCTGCCCGGGCGCGCGCTTTCTGGTAGGCTATCCTGCGACCGGAAGTGACGCAGCGGCGCGCGCTCCTCTGGGGTTGCCCGGGTCTGGGGCGTGGAGCTGGTAGCTGGCGTCCTGTTTGCGGGTCTTGGCTCCCGGCGGGGCGGGCTAGCGACCACGCATCTACTTCACCGAATTCTTTTGAGGTCCCGCTCCCTGTTTGTTCTCTATTAAAATACTAGAGTTGTTTGAGAGAGGTTAGTGTGGTCTGGAGTTTTCTGCGTTGCTATACTCAAGTTGGAGTAGGGGGAAGTAGGATTGAGCAGTCCGCTTGTATATGCTATAACCTGGTTTTCTTCACAGCGACCATCTTCACAGCTGTCACCCTGTTCCAAGCTGTGAAGTCGTCATTTTCCCTTCTGAACATCTCCCAGTATCTTCTCATTGCACTTTCTCCAATCTATTATCCCTGCAGTAGCCTAACTGGTTTTTAAATCGGGTCACAGTGTCATCACTGCTTACAACTCTTCGAAGCCATTCCATTGCACTTGGAGTAAACTCCAAGCTCAGCTTTCCCAGACCTTGTGTGACCTGACTCTTCTTGCCCGCCTCTTCACAGAGTTGTGCGTATGTACAAACAACCCTCCACACCAGGATTCTGCTCACCCCTGGCCACAGAATCCCCCAGTGCTGAAAGGAGAGGACACTGAAGGTAATGTTTTCCCAGATAATTAAGGCTTGTAGTGTGTTACGAAATATTCTGTAGAATTTACAAGGTGAATGGAGTTCTGATAATTTCTGTTTAACTCAAAATTGGAGATAAAAAATCCTCAATGTTGCCGTGGCGTACCCCTGTTATCCCAGAAGCTCTAAAGGTTTAGGATCGCGAGTTGAAAGCCAGCCTCAGCACAGGTGGCGAGGTGCTAAAGCAACCCACTGAGACCCTGTCTCTAAATAAAAAATATAAAAATAGGGATGGGGATGTGGCCCAGTGGTTGAGTGCCCCTGAGTTCAATTCCTGGTACCAAAAAAAAAAAAAAAAAAAAAAAATTATTGTTTTAGTCTTCTTTCATTTTCCCAAATTCACTAGCTCTTCCCGGCGTTAGCAGCTACACATGTTGTCTCTTTGCAAGATGTTCACTCTACTTTTGGTCTGAGTAAATCCTGTTCATCCTTCAGATACTGACTTTATCAGATAGGCCTCATTGACCTTACTCCTACCTCCACAATGTCAGTTAGGTTTCTCTTATTTTTTTTCCTAAAGAGCTTTGTATTCTATTCTTACGGTAGTTACCATGATTGCATTTGTATATCCCTGTCTCTATATAGACATACTTTTTAAGATGTCTGATCTTTTCCAAGAGACTAAACTCTGTAGGGAAAGGAATTAGTTTGCCTAGCACATTTTTTGGTGTAATTGACTCTCAATTATTTGTTGAACTAATGATTTATTTCACTTCTGAAACTCTTCTTTAGCTTTCTTTTTTTTTGCGGGGGAGGGTTAATCCAGGGGTGCTTTACCACTAAGGTACCTCCCCAGTCCTTTTTATTTCTTTATTTTGAAACGGGGTTTTGCTAATTTGTTGAGGCTGACCTCAATCGATCCTCCTGTTGAAGCTTCCTGAGTCTCTGATATTAGTTGTGTGCCACCAGGCCTGGCTTTTCTTTAACTTTCTGATGAAAGCCTTCTGGTTTCCTACCATGACCAGATGCTAGGTGCATTCTCCACCTCTGTATCCCATTTCCAATCCAATCCCTTTCTGGCTTTTTTTTTTTTTTTTTTTTTTTTTAAATAAACCTTCCAAGTATGATTCCTAACCTCTTGTTTCACCTGCTTTTCTCAACATCAACTTCAGGAACCTTTTGTTCTACCGCTTCTACTCTGAAAATCCCCAATAGTGAAAATTTCCCCAAGGAACTACTCATTGCTAGAGAAGGAAATTATACAGTGTTAGGAAGTATTGGCAGTCCTTGGTTTTGGGGAGCCAACAGCAGGTACCCTTAGTATTCATTCTGCATTAGCCCTCTTGTGTTTTTAAATAGACATTTGTTCCAGAATTCTATTCTTCTCCATCCCCCATCCCAACTTTGTCCCCTGACCCAGGAAGTGCCCAGATGTCCTATCTGATGGGATATTTTTTCTGTGGTCCACTTCAGCTTCTTTCTGTATCTGTAGATAGGCACATCAGGAGTTATTCTTTTGCCAGAATCAGAGAAATAGGCATCCTTCTTTCTGTTCGTTTACACCCTGGACCTTCTGCTGCTGCACAGCTTTCTGGTTAGGTCATCTCTGTATTTCTTTCAGTCATTACATTTTCTCATTTTTCTTGCCTTCATTTTTCTTTCCCCACGTGCCAATAGATCTCTTATTACTTTATCATTCCATCTACTTCCCTCCCATAGCCAACCTCCTTAATTAAAGGAATAGTCCACTCCCTTATAGGGTGCCTCATCTTCTGCTGACTTCATAAACCACTACAGTCTGGATTTTGTCTCCATTGCTCCATTGAATCTTCTTTTACTAGATAACCCAGTGACCCAGTCATGTCCAAATTCACCAGACCTTTTCTTGATTTCCTTATGTGAATATGCCCTGTCGTTTTCTACTTTTAACCATTCCTCTTACCCTTTTTAAAATTATTTGTTGTTTCCCCAAAATTTCTTTCTTTTAAATCTTGTCTTTGCACTACAATACTATTAATATTTTTGGTTGAATTGACTTTTTTTTTTTTTTAACTTAAAAAATAAATCTGGCCTGGGAAGTAGCTCAGGCGTATGGCACTCGCCTAACATGCTTGAGACCCTGGGTTCAATCCCAAGGATTGGGAAACAAACAAAAAGCCCCCCACTCCCCCAAAAAACACACCTCTTGCATGCAGATAAGAAAATGAAAACAGAAGTGTTTTTTATTTAGAGGCTCTTAGAAAAGCTCTGAACAAGAATCCTGCCCCTTCTATTGCAAAGGGAGACCAAGCTGAGCCTTTCTCTAAAAGATAAACAGAAGGCCTCAGAAGGGAGGAAGTTTCTCCCTCTGATGCTGGGAATTGAACCCAGGGGCGCTGAACCACTGAGCTACATTTCCATCCCTTTTCACTTTTCATTTTGAGGCAGAGTCTTGATAAATTGCTGAGGCTGGCTTTGAACTTGTGATCCTCCTGCCTCAGCCTTCCAAGTTGCTGGGATTATAAGTGTGCACCATTGTACCCTGCAACTTTAATCTTTTCAGTGTTAGCCTCTTTTTACCCTCTAAAATGATGACATCTGGCACCCCCCCCCCCTTTTCCCTTCTGCTTCCTTTCTGATAGTCTTATTTTTTTGTGTGACTGGATTTACTGGTAACTCAGTTACCCAAACCAAACTTTGTACTTTAGATTTATCTGAACCTTACTTCTTTTCAGCAGATATTGAACACCTCCTCTAGGTATTAAACCATGGGCCAGGGGTTCAGGTCTTAGCTCATCCATGATGTTTCTTGAGCCCCAAACACAAAGCATTTTTCCCTCTTGTCAGTTCATGTGGCCAGTAGTTGACCTGCCTTATTGTGTTGTTACCCCACATACTGAATCTCCAGCACAAAGTGAGCCACTTTGGGGCAGATTATCCTAAATTCATGGCAACTTTGTATCTTAGTGCTTGGTCTCTGGGATTGTTTTATTCAATGAGGAATGAGTGGGTGGGTGGGAGGAATTTGTGATCATTTCATAGAAATAAAGTTTCAGAAAACCTTAATTTATTCATGGTTAAAATCAAGTCTGTCTCTTGATTATTATGTTACTTTTTAATATATTTATATGTTACACAAGTAATTAAGTGAATATATTCTCTTTCAGGCAGTTCCTAAGTATATGAATAAAATGTAGATGCTTCCTTTTTTTTTTTTCTGTTCCCTTCACTTCCTCCTCCAACTACTGTATGTTTGGTATGCATCTTTTCAGATCTTTGTGTGCATTCCATACACATAGATGCCCACATGTGTCACGCATGCCTACATGTGTCAAGAACCATAAATGTGTTCATGGTTTTATATCAACACCACAGAAAATATATAAAGGTTACCTTAAACTATTAAAACATGCTTAGTAAGCATCCTTGTACTGATGTATAAGTAGAAATCGTCTCTGACTTAGAACTTAACATTTTTGTAACTTTATAATGGTGTGAAAGTAACTTGCATTCAATTTGAATTTTGCTCATTTCCTGGGCTAGTGATATGCATTATGATCCTTCTCATGATGCTAGGCAGCAGCAGTGAGCTACAGCTCCTAGTCAGCCACATCATGAGAAAGAATAACTAAGGCATTTGGGTGTTCTATATTTCTCTGGAATTAATACCTTGACCTAGAGTTGGCTGGGCAAAGGTCATGTGCAATAAAATTTTGGTAGATATTGCTAATTTGTCCCCCAAAAGGGATGTATTAATTTATATTCCCACCATGAGTGGGTGAAGGTGGGTCCTGCTTCTTGTCTATATTGAATATTACCATGCCTACCAAACTGATGAGTGAGATATTATATTGTATAATGAAATGGAGATATTTTTGATAATATTTTTGTTAATTTCTCTGAGATTCTCATTTGTTCAAAGTTCTAGATAGATGTTTAGCCTCAAAATTTTTAGTGTCAGATTCATACAGAAATTCTCTCCTTATGTCACTGACTCATAAATTATAGTTGATTGTGCTACTCTAATGTAAATCATTTGTATCTTAGCACAGTGAAAATGCTAACAGGAAAGACAGCAGCCAGACTACTTCAGCTGTTGGGAATGTTCATAGTGTCACTCAGGATTGTGTTGCTGGCATTCTCAGCTGGCTGCCCAGATGTCCTTGTTGATGCTACTGCATTTTTTTCTTTTGTTTAATTTTTCTTATTTATTATCAGAAGATTTATAATTTGTGTCCTTTTTAGAAATTATTACTTGGAAATTTCAATTTATGTAATTGGAAGGTTATTACTTGATACTTTAAGAAATCAGTGTATTAATTATACAATGTTGAAGAAACTATGTAATGATCAAATCTCTATGATCAAAATATTTCTATCCTTTTAGATAGTCTGTACAAGATGCCAAATGAAGAAATCTCTCACTCAAGTCAAACTCAGGAGCAAGACTGTTTACAGAGACAACATATTAGTACTAATGAAGAATCATCAACTGAGCAAAAAAATGATGGGGATGCAGAGAAGAAGGAGCACCTGCCTTCTCCTTCCTCCGACTTTGGGCCCTCTACTTCTACTGAGGGCTGTACATCAGCAGCTGCAAGGAGAGGTCCAGCCCTGCTGCACATTGACAGGCATCAGATCCCGGCTGTGGAGCCCAGTGCTCAGGCCCTGGAACTGCAAGGCCTGGGCGTGGATGTTTATGACCAGGCTGTGTTGGAGCAGGGTGTGCTTCAGCAGGTGGATAGTGCAATCCTTGAGGCTAACCGCGTAGCACAGCTCGTTGATGCTGAGAAGGAGTATCGTTCAGTCCTGGATGACCTCATGTGAGTGTGGCCCATGTCTTTTTTGAGAGTTTATTTTTAAACATGGCAGAGAAATCTAGGTAATACTTATAATATTCCAGAAATGTAAGAGATGTATAGAACCTGTTTTTTGGGAGATAGCATCAGTAAGGGCAACTCTCCACTTTGACTTTGGTCCTTGCCCCTTCCCTTAGGAGCAGTGATGCACACAGCCATGTTGCACACAGTGGTTTGGGGCTCAGCTCAGCCCAGCCCACAAAGGCCYATCTTGTGCATAGTGTCCTGAAGAGGTGCTATTTAGGACTCATTGCCATGTGCTGTGTGGTCTTAGGAGAACTATGTCTGAATTTGGGCAGTTTCCTATTTGAAATACCGGAAATATACTGCCCCTTTATCACAACGCTGTAGTTTCTTTTCAGCTTGCTGTCCTCAGATTGAGTGTTCAGTCCCTTGGCAGTTTTTTTTCAGATTTGCATTTCTAGAAATAATAACTCCCTTGCCTTTCCTTTCTTCTGTCCTACTTTTGACTTTCTGTAAGGAAAGATGAAACATGGAGACCTCATTTTCACTGACATGGGCTCTGTTGAGCATAGTGTATTGGTGGAGAAGAGAGGGACTGGGCCAGGCTGTGGGGTGAGGACAGGATTGGGAAGTTGTGGAGAGTTAAGCTTACTCATCATTGTCATAGGGCTGAGTTTAGGACAGGTCAGGCAAGCAAGAAAGAGAAACTGAGCACTAGACTGGCTAGTGCTCAGGCAGTGCGAGGCAGTATTGAGGTAGCTGGGGAGGGAGTGTGTGGAATCTGTGGCTGTCTGGTTGGGGAGTCTATAGTAGTGGTGCTGTTGGTACTTTAAGCATGTATCATCTGCTAACAGAAAATTTGTAATTTGTGCCCTTTTTTAGAAATTATTACTTGGAAATTTCAATTTATGTAATTGGAAGGTTATTACTTGATACTTTAAGAAATCAGTGTGTTAATTATTATAGTGTTTCTGGTGTGTTCTCTTGGCCTCTTTTTTGTTTTAATTTAAATTACCTTTTTTGGGGGGGCCTTTTGAATAGTGGGTGCTCTTGCATAGTTGTTAGTGACCTTGAGTGTTGAGGACCTCAGTTCCTTATAATGACATACCTTTTACATTTGATCTTGAAAATGTGTCCACTTCCTCTGGAGGTTAGAGATAGGAAAATGCTGTGGATTCTCAAGGCAGAGGACACTATGGCTGGAGATGTGGTACTTTAGATGGCCAATAACTTGTATTGTTTATCCTGAAATCCACAAAGGATACAAACAGCAAGTTGTACAAGTGTCCAGAAGATTGAATTTGTGTTTTGAAAATTGGAAGCTATAATTCTATTATTCCTGTTTTAGGAATAATTTTGTTTTTCTTTTCTTTCACAYAATGAAAGAAAAATATTGTCACAGATTTACAGTTTATATAAGAAAATGTTTAGGAAATCCTTTCAAGGATTTCCAGATTTTGGGAGGCTTCCATAATGGGCTTTAAAAACCTGTGTATGCATTTCTTCATAAAAAAGGGCAATGTATTACATGTTGTCCTAACAGCGTCTTGAATAAAGTAGACAGTTAAAAAATGGTTGTAGAAGGAATGAATCAGTTTAAAAATGGAAATGAGCTGATTTAAATCAGAAAAACAAAAGAAAACCACTAGTAGTTAAACGACTAGTAGTATGTTAAACTTCTAGTCTATTTGTGACCAATAAGAATGTGCATTCTGTTTTAGTTTCTTTTTAGTTCATAAGAAGTAGAAGAGACATGTTTCTAGCATTTGTCTTATTATTATATGATATAAATGTTACCATAGTGGAAAATAGATAATTTATCTTATTTTTCAGGTCATGTACAACATCTCTAAGGCAAATCAATAAAATTATTGAACAGCTTAGCCCTCAAGCTGCCACCAACAGAGACATCAACAGGAAACTAGATTCTGTAAAACGACAGAAGTATAATAAGGTGATTCCAAATAATGCATAAAGTATTAACACTTTTGAAAAAGTCACCATGTGAGCCCACTTAATAATTTAAAACATATTCTGGGAAGTATTTATAAGATGTAAAGCAAATGTTTTTCCTTGTAGAGAAATTTTGAGTCACTTTTATATGTTTAAATTGTTTCCCTTATACATCCTTAGTTATACAATATTTTTAAAAACCCATACACATAGACACACATATTTATATACTATACATGCCTGTATGCATCCTTGAGTACATAGTTGAGAGTAGTTCCTATTTGACTTTGCATGCTTCCCCACTCTGTTCATTTACATAGTCTTTCTAGTGTGACCATTTCCTTTTGCTCTAGTCTGGTGTATTGGTCTCTCACTTAAATCTCCTTGTTTCCTGTGGGCTTTGTTTTTCTGTTTAGCTCTTGGTAACACTGATTGTCTTCACCCCTGCACAGTGCTTCTGCTGCTTATTCTGAGAGGCTGGTCCTTCGTCCTTACCTTAAGTATTACATTCACTACCCAGATGCATAAGGTCAGAGAACTTAAGAGTTGGGAAGATCTATTATGTAGGATGTTGTTTTTATGGGGTTTGGAACTTTTTTTTTTTTGTTAGGAATTATGTATACCTTTATGAAAATAATTGCAGTAAATAGGAATGACTAGTTTTGTTCATTTCAATTCTGCCTTGACTTATAGTCTTGTGCTTACAGTTGATCATTTGCAGCAGGTGGGGGTCCTTGTATTTTTAAGTTCTACTTGTGGGGGCATATAGTGTCATTTCATGTGGTCCTCCTTTTAATTTCCACCCATCAATTGATTATCTTTACCACCTGTCTCTCTCACTTTTGGAATTGCAGCCCACAAGTCAGAGCTAGTATTTGATTTATACAGAGAGGATCCCCCCAAATCATAAAGGGGGCATCTGGCCTCTTGTGGGAACATGTGAATTGATGTGCAGAGACCTTTGAACTTCTTGGGCTTCTGGGAGACTAGGATTTCAAGGATGGAGAACAAACTTTAGGCCACTTCAGAACCTCGTCTAACTTAATTATATTTTCCTGTCTTTCTTTTTTCTTTTTTTTTTTAATATTTATTTTTGAGTTTTTGGTGGACACAACATCTTTGTATGTGGTGCTGAGGATSGAACCCGAGCCGCACGCATGCCAGGCGAGCTCGCTACCGCTTGAGCCACATCCCCAGCCCAATTTTCCTGTCTTTCTTTATCAGCATCTTGATGTTTAGAGATAAACTATTCAGAAAGAAAGTGTTTTAAGTGGGATTTTGTTGAGAGAAAGACTAAGAAAAAATTATAAGTCATTGTAGTGTAGTGTTTATGTTCAGGTTTCCTACTTGCTCCATACTCTTATTTAGAGTTGAAGCGTTCTTTTTTTCCCAGTGGCGCTAGGGATTGAATGAGGTTCTCATGCATGCTAGACAAGTGCTCTACCACTGGTGAAACTGAAACATTCTTTTTCTTGTAAAAATGATCCAAGTACTCTAGGCCCAGTTAATTGGGAAGCTGTAGGAAGGCCACAGTATGAATTTTGATGATATCAAGAAAGATAAGAAGAGGAATCTAGGGCAGTCAGGGTAAAGAAGCATGGCAAAATGTATTTGCCTTTCAGTTTTATGATTGGATAGAACACTATAAAGGATGTCATAAATCCGGTAGGTTATCTAAGAAGAGTGATTTTTAAAAATATTGAACACTGTTTTTTTATTTCTCATCCCTATGTCCTTTTGCCCTCCATTGGCTGCTCAGGTCAGAAGCACAGAAAAAGTTTAATGATGTATTCCAGTATGGGGAAGTGGGTAGGCAGGGAGGGCAATTACACTCTTCCTCAGTTGGTACATGCGATTTAAGTGTCCAATTTAAGTGCCCAAGAATGGGGAAAGCTCTATGCCACACAGTGAGGAACACCTGTGGGGCAGGCATGTCTGTACAACAGGATTGCTTCAAGATTAACTTGCTGCAAGAAAGTGAGAGTTGTTCAAATAAGGCTGTGTGTAGTAATAGTAATGTAAAGTTTATTTTACTCTTCATTAAAGTTTTTAAATTTCATAGTGCTATTTTATTTAACAATAAACCACCGCATTATCCTGTTCTGTATTTGGTATTTATCTTTCAAGGAACAACAGCTAAAGAAGATCACTGCAAAACAGAAACGTCTGCAGGCCATCCTTGGAGGATTAGAGGTAAGAGTGGAACTGGATCATGCCAGCCTGGAGGAAGAGGATGAAGGTGAGGACACTGGGAACAGTTTCTTTGTGTTCTTGAATTAATGCCTCTTTATATATGCCTGGGCTTTGAGAAAAATGCCTTTCTTTGTCTTAGTGTTAGACTGGATCTAGGAATATTTTACTCTCTACACTTGCAAAACCAAACCTTTTCAGTCAGATCAGGTTTTTAGAGAATTTAAAGAAAAAAAAAATTTGTATATATGTGGGTGTATATGTACACACACACACACACACACACACACACACACACACTTTTTTTTTTTTTTTAAAGGCAGGGGTGCCTTACCACTGAGCTACATCTCCAGGCCTTTTTTCTAATTTTTTGGCCAGGGTCTTACTAAGTTGCTGAGGGTCTTGCTAACCCTTGAAGCTGGCTTTGAACTTGGGATTCTCCTGCCTCAGCCTCCCAAGTCATGGGGACTACAGGCCCACACCACTGTGCCCAGCTTGAAAGTAAATTTTTAACTCAATTCTCTAGAGGCTGCTGATGGACGTTTCATGTTACATTTAATAAATTGGAAATTCTAAACATGGTTATATAATTAATTTGATAATGACACTAATATCTTGATTGAATTACATTTTGAAAGCCCAGCATCATCAATCAGCATCTGTAGAATTGCTCTCACGTTTCTTTAAGGATCATATTTGGCAGGCTTTCCAAGCATCTATTCTGTTATATAAGAAAAGACATTCAGGTTTTATCATAGCCATAATTTCATTAAATTACTGCTTTGGATTATTGTCTTTTGGAAAGCCTTTTTGGAAAATGCATAAGCTCTGGAACTAAATATCTTTGCAGTTGTGTGTGTGTGTGTGTGTGTGTGTGTGTGTGTGTGTAGAAATTGTTAGTTGCTGCTCATTTTACTGCCTGAAATTTAAATTAAGCTTTCTTAGTATAAGCGCTTCAAGCAAATATTTCCTACTAGCTCTAGTATTCGCTAAGACAAGAGTATTGTTCTGAGATGTGACTTTTTAAAGTTCAGTCTCACACTATGCATTATCTTAGGACCAGTGCTTTCTGCAGCTGTGGTACCATACTTCTCATTGGTAAAGGATATTTGTTCTTGTCTAGCTGTCTAAAATCTGCTTTTACTTCCTATTGCTACTTTGGTAAAACTTTGCCCTGGGTTAAATGATACCTCCTCAGACCTTGCCTCCCTCAGTCTTTTGACAGCGTTTGATACTTCTGTGCCATCTGGGATCCTTATCTTTTTCCTGGTTTTCCTTTCTGCCCTGTGCCTAAGTCTGTTGCGTTGTTTTGGTCAGCTTTTCTGGTATTATCACAAATGCTGATTCCTCAGAATTTTTTTGTTGAGCCCCTTTCTCATTCGATTTCCTCTCCCCAAATATCATCTAGTCACATGGCTTTGCAGCCACTTACTATCTTACAGATATGTTGCCGTCAGTTTTTGAGTTCCTGATTCCTATGATAGCCCTCCATCTGGACACCAGCCATCACCTGGGACTCTGATCTCTTTTACCATCCTATCTCCTCCACTCTATCTGCTGAGGCAGTAGAGCAGAGGGCCTGAGAGCACAGTTTTGGCTCTGCATTGCCAGGTGGAACTTGGCTGTGTTCTTTACCTAAGTCTCTCTGAACCTGCACAGTATGTGTAGGTGTAGCAGCCCTCCCTCATACTTCCCTGAGGCTTCCTTTCCCCAGCTCTCCACATAGTGATCCATTTCATAAGGTGATTGTGAGAATTACCTGATAGTAATTTCTTAGAAGTGGATGAGAACAGATTATAAACAAAAGGAAACTTTGACTTTGCCACTGTGATCTGGAGGGTGACAAGAGTGTATACCCACACCTTTCCTATTTATTTCTCTGGACAATATAGGAACTGAAGAAAGGGAATACAAAGTGTAAGGATGACAAAAAAGAAATAAAACCATCATTAATCATAGAATTTTTGATTGTTTATGTAGAAAATTCAGAAATTGATGTGCTTAGCGATATCATTGAATATAGGATCAACATAAAAAACTTGTCATTTTTATATGCCAAGAAAAACAAAATATAAAATTTAATAAAGATGCCAGTTACATTGAAAATCAAATACTTAGAAAGAAGTTTAGCAAAAAAAAATGTGTTTTTTCTCAAAGGCCAAATGYTCTCTCTGATATGCAGATGTTAACTCACATTAAATGGGTGGGGTAGGGAAAAATAAAAGTATATTGGATTAGACAAAGGGGAATGAAGGGAAGTGAGGGAGAATGGGAATAGGAAAGATAGTAAAATGAATTGAACATTACTTTTCTATGTTCATATATGAATACATTACCATTGTAATTCCACATTATGTACAACCAGAAAAATGAGAAGTTGTACTCCATGTATGTATAATGTGTCAAAATACGTTCTACTGTCGTGTATAACTAAAAAGAGCAAATTAAAAAACAAAAAGAAAATAATGAGGTTTTCTGCAGTGTTTCCTACATACAAAACTAAAAAAGGCCACTGAAAAATCAAAGACAAGTAAATGGAGATACACTGTGGTTGTGAATTGAAAATACAATGTTGTAGAGATGTCATTTATCCTAACCAGCTATAGTTCCAGCGCAGTCCCAATATACATCTCAGGTTTTTGTTTTGTTTTAAGGCAAAGGACATGAGGGAGGAAATCTAAAGTTGAGGTTAGAAGTCATTAACAATCCAGTTCTAAAATTTGTATAAAGGTGTGTTGGGCCAAGAATAGCCAAAGCAATCCTGAAGAACAAATATCAAGAACTGTCATATAGCTGATGTAATTAAGACAGTATAGTATTGACACAAGGATATACAGACAGACCCCTGGTATAGAAAAGAGGGCCCAATAAATAGGCCCGTGCACATAGTATCACTTGATTTATGGCAAAGCTGGCAGGCAATGCTGTTGAGAAGAATGGTCTTTTTAATCAGTGGTGCTGGGTTAATCCACATAAAAATAAAAGAAATCTTGACCTGTTTCACTGTGCACAAAGATAAATTCTGAGCAGATGATATATCTGAATGTTGATGGTAAGACAAAGCATTTAGAATATCATATAGGGCAAACATTTTCATGATTGTGGTGTAAGCAAAGACTTAAACAGGACACAGAAATGCTCTTTGTAAGGGAAAAGATTTATTAAATGGACAGTATAAAAACTAAGAACTGGGCTGGGGTTGTAACTCAATGGTTGAGCACTTTCCTTGAATGTGTGAGGAACTGGGTTTGATCCTCAGCACCACATAAAATAAATAGATGGTATTGTGTCCATCTACAGCTAAAAAAATATTTTAAAAAAACCCTAAGAACTTCTGTTTGTCAAAAGATAGAATTTAGAGAGTGCAAATGTAAGCTACAGAGTGAGATAAGATATTTGTAGAATATGAATGAATCATAGGACTTGAATCTAGAATATATAAAGAACTAGAAATCTTTATTTTGTGAAATGTAGATGGATTAAGAGAAAAATGGGTAGAAGACTGAAACATTTTATACACAAAAGAGGCTGTCCAAAGGATCAGTAAATCTATGAAAGGTGCCTTGTTTCATTAGTCATCAGGAAAATTCCAAGTTATAGCCACAATGTGGTATCACTACATACCTATTAAAATAGCCAAAAAGGAATGGCAAGAATATAGACCAGTTGGAACTTTCAAACTTTGCAAATCTGTTTGGCAGTGTCTACTAAATCTGAATATACTCAATTATATATGTTTATTGTTAAAGGATGTGTATGAGAATATTCATAGCAACATTATACTTAGCAGCCCAAATCTAGAAACCACCCAAGTACATTAACAGTGGAATGGAAAAATTATAGAATACCAGCAATAGTAGGAGCTAACAAATGGCAGCTTCATTCAACAAGTTAGTGTGGCTTTCACAAGTGCAATTCTGACTAAAGGCAGGCACATAGAGGAGCACAAACTTTCCATTGATATGAGGTACACAGCCAGGCATCACTCATCCATAGAGTCAGGCCTGTCATTATCCCTGGGTCGGCTGGAGGTGGCACCAGCTGCACCTAGGGGGATGCTAGAAATTTCTGTTATTTAATCTGAATGCTGGTGCATAAATATTTTTTCTGAATATTCATTGAGTTTATAATTTGTGTACATTCTTGTATATTTTATTTCAGGAGAGCAAATTTAAGGAAAAACTGGCTTGTATAAGAATTATAGATTTTAGAATATGGATTCCTTCCTGTTAAATCTTAAGTTTTTTGGTTTTCAGATTATGTGGTAAAGTAATTTTTTTGTTGGAGATTAATTTCAACTAGTGAGAGGGATTTCTACATGACTTTATACTTATAGGGGAAGATTCTGCATGTTGAGGGGAAAGTTCTCTGTATTGTTAGGATGGTAACCATTATTCACATATAACTGTAGGACTCAGTTAATTTAATTTTTAAATAGCTACAGTTGACTGGTAAATACTTACTGAGCAGTACAGAGATAACACTTTGAATTTTTCCTGTTTAGATACATGGTGATGCCTGAGATGTCTGTTTTAATTTTACTGTCTTGAATTTAGGTCCATCTGAATGTAAATACTAGCAAAAATATGGAAACTTGGATATTATTTTTTTCTTGTGGGCTACTCTTCTGTTGATAATTTTTATAGTTCTAGGCCTGTCTTTAGTTATACAAAGTATATTTATAATGTGATATTTAAAACTTTAAATTCAAGTGTATTTTTTTAACTGAAAAAAATTTATACATGTTTTTAGGGTGCTATGTGATATTTCAATAAATGTGTATATTGTATAAGGTATAATTCAGGTTGAACATATCTGTGTCTTCAAACAGTTATCATTTTTCTATGGTGAAAACGTTCAAGCTACCTTTTCTTGCTTTTTGAAATATACAGCATGCTATTGTTATGAAGAGTTACCTGCTGTGCACACCAGAACTTCCTAACTATAACTCAGTACCTTGAGTAAGACCATTCTTCCTTCCCCCTGCTCTCCCCAGCCATTGCCACCATTCTGATCTCCACTTTTATGAGCACAGCATTTTTAGATTCTGAATATGAATGCAGTCATATAGTACTTATTTTTCTGTGAGAAGCCTATTTCACTTAGCACGATGATCTTCATTTCCATTCATGCTGTCCCAAATGAGAGAACTTCATTTTTTTTAATGGCTGAATAGTATTCCATGTTGTATATGTACCACATTTATATGGTATGATATTTTGAAGAAAAGTTACTGAGAAGTCATCTTTTTGAACAGGACTATATTAAGTGCTATAATATTTATACTTTATTACATTCATGTTTTTATGTGAATTATTGGTAGGTGCCTACTTGAACAAGTGAATATTTCCAATGTACTCTTGGGAAGTTTTATGCTAGTCACATTATTGTTGCTCTTTCAGAGCCGGGGCCGTCCTGTCTTGGCAGTATGCTCATGCCTGCCCAGGAGACTGCCTGGGAAGAGCTCATTCGCACGGGTCAGATGACACCATTTGGTACCCAGATCCCTCAGAAACAAGAGAAAAAGCCTAGAAAAATAATGCTCAATGAGGCATCAGGCTTCGAAAAGTATTTGGCAGATCAAGCAAAACTGTCTTTTGAAAGGAAGAAGCAAGCTGCTAATAAAAGAGCAGCCAGAAAAGCCCCAGCCTTGGTCATGTCTAAGGCTGGCCCAGGACCACATGAAAACAAAACAAATCAGAGAAGCAAAGTTCTCTCAAAAACAGACAAGTGCTTGAAAAAGCACATCAGGAAGCTCCAGAAGAGGGCACTGCAGTTCCAGGGGAAGGTGGGGTTGCCAAGAGGGAAGAAGCCCCTTGAGTCAGAGGCCAGGCCAAAGTCAGAGGGAGATTCTGAGAGTGGGGAGTCTTGGTCCTGTCTCACAGAGCAGGAAGAGGAAGCAGAGGCTGGCCTGTGTGGAGATGCCACTGACTATGAACTGAGGCCTGTGCTCAAGGGCAGGAAACGCCAGAAGAAAGCCTCAGTGCAGGAGGTTGATGACGATTTTTTCCCAAGTTCTGGGGAAGAAGCTGAAGCCAACGGAGGAGGAAAAGAAAGTCGAAAAGTAGTGAGATGCCAAGATGATGGAGATGAAGATTATTATAAACAGCGATTAAGGTGGGTCTGCAGGGATTGTGAGTACATTGTACTGCTTGCTTGATGTTAGGCAGCAGCTTTATTAATGACACGTAAACATTCTAGGTCCAGCTTACTTTTCTAGACTCCCATGTACAAAAGGTTGGGCTTCCTGCAGCTCTAACCTGCAAGAAATAGGAGCCAAGGTCTCAGTGGACCTCAGACCCCAAATCCTTGTAATTCCAGGTCTTGAGCCACACTTGGAGGCAAGTCTAAGGTGAAGAGCTTAAGAGAAAGTCTAGGGAAAGTGCATAGAGAATACTGATGTGAGAGTTGTGTGGCTTCTACTCAGAGTGGTCACACTGTAGTAAGTGTAACAAAAGGAAAAGATTGTGTTGTGTATACTGTTTTTTTTAATTATTTATTTTGAAGCAGAATAGTAATTTTAGAAGTCTTTTAAGCTTACTTTCTTAAATCCCTCCTTCCTTGTCTTGAGAAAATAGTCATCTAAAGAATTATAAACCTCTGTTGTGTCAGAAATGTACTTTGTGTGTACAATGTACCTTCCTTTTCACTGTGATTTTTTTATGCCAGAGACTGACTTTGTCTTTTGCCTCTGTGACTTTATTGGTATATGATACAGGTGAGAGGAAAAGGAAGTGAACAGGTGTAACATGAAGTCAAAATTGCCATCACCACATGGTTTTTTTCGAGCCTGGCAATCTGTATACCGCAGGCCTCTCTGCAATATCTCACCGAGTGCTCTAGATCTCTGAGGAAGTCAGAGGGAAAAATGAATGGCAGTACTTCTTGATTATTTAATATTGGGGGGCTTTTTCCTGCTTCTCAAGAGTTTTTCCTAAATTCTCAACATGGGAAGATCTGGTTTATTGTATTTCTCATACAATAAATAGCCTTTTTATTTATTTTTATTATTCATTTTGAAGCAGAATAGTAATTTTAGAAGTCTTAAGCTTTCTTAAATTCCTCCTTCCTTGTCTTGAGAAAATAGTCATCTACAGAATTATAGACCAGTTTCTTAAATCCCTTTAAATGATGCTAACCTACTATTTTTCTTCTGTTTGGAACCACTAATAGCAGGGACTGGAGGTACACGTCTATAACTCCAGCTCCTTGAGAGGCTGAGGTAGGAAGATCGCAAGTTCAAGGGAACGGAAACTTAGTGATACCCTGTCAAAAAATAAAAATGGCTGGGGATGTAGCTCGGCAGTAGAGTGCCCCTGTGTTTAATCTTTGGTATTGCCAAAACAATAACAATAACAAAAAATTCTTGTGACCCAAATGGACACTGCTTTTCAGAGTGGATGCAGCACAGTGATTTTAGTAATATGAAGCCCTGTGACTTAAATCCAGTTTTTGAGAGCTGTTATTCAGGTTCCAATAGTACCTCACATAATACTCATAACTGAGGAATGATTTTTGTCATTTCTCACTGCAACTTTAGTGTGCATACTTAATATCTGTAACATTGTTTGAGGAATATTGCTCAATACTCTTGAACAGTGAGCAATGTCAGTCTTCTTAATTACTGTAGAAAATTAATAAAAGTGTTAATCTCAACATATTGATTATAAGTGGAGCAATATATATTCTCATTAAACTGGGTCAATATTAAATATATTTTAAGTATATCAGTATTTTGATCAAGAGCAATTTATTTTGATTGAATTTTAAATGTGGGTGCAGTTTAATTTCATGGCAGTAAGTTTTTCTTAATAATGTTAAGATTGTAAAACAATTTATTATTTCCAGAGCCATATCATAAGCCAAATTTTTTTTTGCTAAAGTTACAGTAAAATCTCAAATGAATTTCAGAAATATCAATAACTGTAATTGCCACCAAAATACGATAGCTCTTAAAATTTTATAGCTAGTTATTAAGGCTGTTAAGCTGCAGATATCCACATTGAAAGGTTTGTATTACATCTCCTTTGGTGCTCTTTGGATTGGGGGAAGTTAAAAGAAAATAAAATGCTCAGGATTGAAAAGCATATTAAGAACATTTGAGAACTGCCAGTCACTCTATATTTTGTTGCTTGTTGCTAATGTTTGTAGATAGATTGAAATAATAATGATATTTCTTTGAGTGAAGAAGAAAAAGGATTATGTATTTTAGCAATGATTTAATGATGGATAATCCCCCCAAAAGTCACATAGTTTAAAATTTGGAAACTGAATTTTTCTTAGTGGTTAGGATTTAGGAATATGAACTCAGGCTGAGAACCTTGTACAGAACTTCACAGATTCACATTGGTTGTAGCCTGCTAATTGTAATACACTTTCAAACTCTTGGAAGTGAGAGTGGGTGCCTCCTAGACATCTCATCCCCTTTGTCCTCTCAGCTTGAGAGTCCATAGGCCTTTCATTAGCTATAATGAATAGTTTGTCTTGACTAGGCATCTTTGTTTTGCCTGATGTTCAGCAGGCATTTCCTGTTGGGCCTTTTGAATAGCATGATCTTTTCTGGAACTAGGCAATAGGAGTAATGATCCTGCTTCCTCTGAACTGGCCTAGGACCTCAGCTCAGTCTTGGCAGTTCTAACCATTTTTCAACTACCTGTGCATTTTCTCCTCCCACATGTTTTTCTTTCCTTCTGTGTATCCAAGTGCATATGAAGGTTGACTCCTCAGGGGTCTTCCCCCTGGTGTGTGTTTCTCTGCTAACATTCAATGGTGGGGGGTGGTGAGTCATTGCTTAGAAGTAAATATTTTGTTGATTCTTATTCACGTCAGTGTTCTGAGGTTCTATCATTTTCTGTTAGGATATGGCACTTAAAACACACCACTGTTTTAGAAATCTCAACACCAAACCCTTTGGTGCAGGGCATTAAATTCCATTGGTACCTGTGCCCAGACTTGCTGCCTCAGTTTTGACTTATTTCCCAGTCGAGATGTGAAGTCAGTTCCCATTGCTTCATCTCTGCTTATACTATGTGAATGCACGTCTTCATTCTAGGACTGACTTTTAGGGTTCCTGGCAAAGAATCTTCAGGCTGTTAGTGACATGAACACAGATAGGACCTAATGAGATGTGAAGGGCATAAATGAATTTAGACTGAGGTGTCAGATGGGGGGAGACTTTGTGAAGGAGGTACATTCCAGTGCAGAACCCTGTCAGAATATTGACAGAGACCTCATGATACAGGTTAAAAACTTTGCATTTTTCCCAAAACTTTAGGTGTATCACTGAGAAGAAAAGGACTTGCTTTGCTCTGAGATCCTTAGAGATCTCATTTGGATTACCTTAAGAGATTAGAATGGTGGCATGATCTGCAGAGAGGCCCAGCTTCTGAACTGTCCACATCAGGACGGATTCACATGTACTTCATTCGGCCTACTGTCTTCTATCTCAGGGGAATGGACATCTGTTCAGTGGGAGGTTGAGGCCCTGATTGGGTTCACTGGGAGAGTGCCACAGTTCCTTAATGATCTCTATCCTGGGTCAATGGGTGAAGAAACCAGCAGCATTCATACCAGCTATTTGCTACCTTTAAGATAGTCAAACAAATGCCACTGATTATTCTGGCATTTTTCCCAGCAGTAGTCAGAACTGCTATGGGTACAGAYCAGGCCCACTTTCAAAGACTATTCTGTCTCCTCACTGAACCAGACCTAGCACTTATCACTTGAGTTTAACCTTAACCAAGCTCACTCTTCTGTTTTCACCTGCCAGTTGTTATTTAAGTTGCTGAGTTAACTGCAGGTACTTCCTTAGCAAGAAACCATGCTTCCTGGCCCACAAACCGATTTTGTGGCCCCTGGGAGCCCCAATGCTGGAGGTGCAGACTCAGAAGGTCTAGTGTGGGGCCACTGGGCAGGTCTTTGAAACAGCTTGCCCATGTCATTCTGGTGCACTGCGTTGGGAACTACTGGATGTATATAAATTGATTTTATATACTGTTTTCCTTTCTGAAGCTGTAGTTGTTAGCCAACTTGGTTTATATCAGTTTTTCTAAAATCTTCCCTTTTGTGCTCTGCACAGTTGTATTTACATAGACAAAGGCCTGGAAGGGGACTCAGGGTTAGTTCATTCAGCTAAATTAGCTGCACTAAGCTCAGCTAAAAGCAACAGATGTTCTGGTTGTTATGGGTTGTGCACATAAGAATCACCTGAGCATGTCTTCAACAGGCAGGAGCTTGACTCAGCTGCTGAGTCAGGGGCAGCAGGTCTGGGTGTGGAGGAACTGGGTGCGCACTTGTGCTTTGACTGAGCTTCACTGATTCTGATGTGAGGTCTGTGGCATTCTTCATTATCATAGGCTTTGGTTTAGAAAGAAATGTGCTCCCATTTAGGGGACCTTTGAAGTGGTTGGAAAGAATCGTAAGGATTTTGGGGGTTTGAGATGTAATGCTTTTATTTTCCCTCTCATCCCAAAGTCACCATAGTATTGCTTCTGTGATAAATCTCCAAACCAGCCCCACCGCCAGTCAGTAAAACACAAGAGTTCAGAAACAGACTGTTCTCTAGGTGCCTGAGTCTCTTCAAATTATCTGGTACATTGAGCTAAGCTGCTGAGATCACAGCCTGAAACTTATTGGAGTTGGTACCTTTTCATGGTTTTAGGGCTTTCTACTCTTTCCCCACCTTTCTGCACTTGTAATGATGTCTTCTGTTTTAATTTATTTTTTAATATTTATTTTTTAGTTTTTTAGGTGGACAAAATATCTTTATTTATTTTTATGTGGTGCTGAGAATCGAACCCAGTGTCTCACGCATGCTAGGTGAGCGCACTACCACTTGAGCCACATCCCCAGCCCTGTCTCGTGTTTTTAAATTGTGAAAATATAACAATATTAAGCTGGGCTGTGGTGGTGCATGCCTATAATCCTAGCTACTGGGGAGGCTGAGCAGGAGGATGGCAAGTTCAAGGCCAGCCTGGGCAACTTAGTCATACCCTATCTCAGAATTAAAAATAAAAAGGGCTGGGGGAAGAGGAAAAACCCCTTAGCTGTAGAGCACCCCTTGGTTCAATCCCCAGTACCATAGAAAATATGAACAACAACAAAAAACAATTATTAAG